AACAACTCTAAAAGTTAAACAATCTTGGGCTAGAGAGATGGCTCAGCTGTTAAGAGCACTGGCTGCTCTTGCAGATGACCCAGGTTCGATTCCCAGCACACACATGGTGACTATAACCTTCTGTAACTCCAGTTACAGAAGACTCCAATGCCCTCTTCTGACCTCCATGGGCACTTGTCTCCCAGGTGACTAGTTCCTCCAAGGGGAGGAACCCACCATGGAGGATGGACTACTGAGGGGCTGCTGGGAGCCATGTTGGGACAGAAGCCTCCAGCTGGGCGTGGGGGCATGGGGAATGCATACTCAAGGACAGAATGGCCTGGTGCCTATGGACCTGGGGCAAGACCGCTGGCCCCTGAGGTGTGGGTGAAAGCTAGCTGGTGACTATGGAGAGTGGTCTGATATGGCGGGCTCTGAGCCGCTGGCTGAGCAGCACAGAGCTAGGCATGGGGTGCTCATTTCTTTGTACTCTACTCGCCCCCACAATAATAAATGCACATAAAGATATGTTATATGGTTTGCCTGATAGTACGAGAGACCCTGAGAGAACTCTGGAGATGGCACTGCATAAACACAGGTGCACTTACATCAGGCAGGCAATACTGTCATACACATACAATAAAAATAATAAATATATTTTTAAAGTCTAACAGAGCTAGGTGTGGTGGCCCAAGCCTTTAATCCCAGCATTTGGGATGCAGAGGCAGGTGGATCTCTGGGAGTCCAAGGTCAGCCTGGTTCACATAGTGAGTTTCAGGCCAGCTGGAGACTACAGGGAGACCCTGTCTCAAAAAGACAGTAAAAAAAAAAAAAAAGTGAGTCTTATATAATCTAAAGATTTACTAATTGGATACATGCTGAAGAATGATGATGGGAAAATATTATCTTTGTTTTCTGTTATTAAGCCACTATATTTCTTTTATAGCAGAAAATTTCCCATGTATAATAAAAACACTGCAGTTCTCTTTTTTTTTGAGACAGGAACCCTAGCCCTAGCTGGCTCAGAACTTGCTATGGCGTTCACGATGCCTTGATCTCACAGACAATCGCCTGCCTCTGTCTCCCAAGTGCTGGGATTAACAGTATGTGCCAACATACTAGCTCCCCTCTGTTTTTTGAGATATGATTTTCCTTTGTAGCCCAGGCTATTCCTGAATTCAAGATACTCCTACTTCAACATCTTGGGTGCTGAGATTATAGGCATGTGCCACCATACTTAGCTTGTACTGTATTCTTTAGAAGGAAAAATCACCTTCAAAGGCCCACTTAAAGAGTGGGAGTTAGGCTCCCCTCTCCTTAAAGTCTATCTGCATAAACTATGCAACAGGCTGTCTCTATTTAATCATTACTTATAACACTATGGGCTCATGAATATTTATTTTGTATCTTTGGCTGCAATGCTACTTTATTTTGTTGCTTTCCCTCCTCAGAGTGTTCTGTTTTCGGCCACTGGGAGTTCTTTCACTCTTCTCCTGAGTCCCTTGAGCCTCTATCACTGGTGAAGAGGGGTGTTGCTTTGTTTACATGTTTGAGCACTTTCTGACCAGTATTGTACTCTAGATATTCCAAGCTTAGCTTATATGCTTTTTATTCTTCAACCTCAGAATTAGCCATTTCTCAAAAAAAGCCTGGTTCTTTTTACTGGAGGATGGTATTAGGAACCAAGAACTAGCTGCTAGATGTGTCCATTGCTACTGGATGTTATTCAATTTGTAACTTGGTGTACAAGTCCTTGTTATCAACTGTATCCCTGTACATTTGTGGATATGAACCACTATTATTCATCTTTCCTGCTACAAGAAATAGCTCCTGATAACTGGATGTTTTTTTGTATGCTTTCCACACCTTAATGTTATCATTTAATTTGAAAATATCTCTGAAAGGTAGACAGTATTTCCCTTACTGAAGATAATACCCAGATGACAGACTGTCACAGACTATTGGTATTGTCCAAGACTAGTGGTAAAATCCTGATAATCTCAGTTTGTTGAAATGCTAAAAAGTACTAGTCCAAGTTGGATGTGGTGGTTAACAACTGTAATCCCAGCACTTAGAGCCTGAGGCATGAGACTCACAAATTCAAGGCCAATCTGAGCTATACAGAAAGAGTATGTCTCAAACAAACAACAACAACAATAAAAAAAAAAAAAAAAAAAAAAAAAAAAAAAAAAAAAAAGAGGGGAAGGAGCACAAGGGCCCAGGGCTCCTAAAAGGGAAATGGTCCCTGAATATGAGAATGAGAGGAAGAACAGCACTAGAGAGGACAGAAGCCCTGTAAGTGCACCACCTCTAAACCACGCCACTTTGACGTAATGTTTGGTGTCTATTTCAGCTCAGGCACACCAATCAAACAGTAATTTTCCAAATCCAGTTGACAGCTTTTTATGCTGTTGATACGTGGTTTTCTGTCATACAATGGTCTATCCTCTCTAACAGCATAAACCATGACATCTGTTCTTTCCTTAGAAATCTCTGACTTGTATAGGCATACAAAGAATCTGGAATAGTAAACTCCACCTGTAAACAGTGATTCCCTCTGTAGAGTAGGATGGAGTTGGGCTCTAATTCTTCATAAGCTTTGGTGATACCTGCATTTTTATTTTAAGGGAACATATGGCTCAGTGGTTAAAAGCACTGGCCGTTCTTGCAGAGGACATAGGTTTGGTTCCCAGTTCCCATATGATGGCAATCAACCATCTTTATCTCCAGTTCCAGATCTGACATCCTCTTTTGGCCCCCACAGGCACTGCATGCATGTGCTGCACCTAAATACAAGCAGGCAAAATACTCATACACATAAAATATGACAATATTTTAGAAACTGACAATAGTAAAAAGCATCTAACTCAAAATTTAATTCAAAACCAAACGCTCAAGCCACCCATGGTGGTGCATGTCTTTAATCCCAGCGCTCAGTAGGCAGAGGCAAGCAGATCTCTGTGAAATGGAGGCCAGCCTGGTCTACAAACTCTACAGCATTTAGACTTTGCACTTATGCCAACATGCCAAGTGTGTTGGCCCTTCAGCTCAGACTTAAGACTATTGTAGGCTATGAACTACAGTGTTTGCCAAGTGTGATGGTACATGCCTTTAGTCCCAGCACTCCAGAGGCAGAGGCAGGCAGATCTCTATGAAATCTAGGCCAGCTGGCGATATAGGAAGGGAGACTCTGTCTCAAAAAAAAAACAAAAAAAAAAAAACCCCAAAAAACAAAAAAACAAACAAAACAAGGGGTGGTGAGAGGAGGAACTTTATAGTGGAGAAAACTGAAAACCCTAGTACAAGCCAGGTAATCAAAGTCAATTTCACAATGATAAATCATGCTGACAGCATTTACCCTTGATACAATATGATGAGAAATGCCACTTTGCCACTTTACCACTATGATCCCTTTCCCCATCTAATGAGAAAAACATCACACAAGTACTGAGGGGCATTCTACAAAACGCCTCACCAGTGTTCCTCAATGCTTTTAAAGTTATCAAGACCTAAACTGTCCCAACCATGAGAAGCCTAAAATGGCATTACTAATATAGTTTCTTAATAAAGGGGGGAGGAGACTATTCACACTGCACTATTCACATAATTCTTTTTTTTTTTTTTTTTTTTTTTCCTTTTCAGAGACAGAGTCTCCCTGTAGCTGCCTGGAACTCACTATGTAGATCAGGTTGGCCTTGAACTCACATATATCCACCTTCCTCTGCCTCCCAAGTGCTGGTATTAAAGATATGTGTCACCACCCCCAGCTTCACAATAATTCTTAAATCTAAGTGTCCTAGCCAGGCGCTGTGGCTTATGCCTTTAATCCCAGCTCTTGGGAGGTAGAGGCAGGCAGACCTTTGTAAAAGCGAGGACAGCCAGGTCTACATAATGAGTTCTAGGTCAGCTGGGGCTATAAGGAGAAACTGTCTCAAACCCCCTGCCCCAAAGTGTTCTAATACAGAAAATTAATTAATTAATTAATTTTGGCTTTTTTGAGACAGGGTCTCTCTGTAGCCCCATCTGGCCTGGAACGCACTATGAAGACCAATCAGGCTGGATTTGAACTCACAGAGATTGGCCTGCCAATGCCTCCCGAGTGCTGGGACTAAAGGTGTGCGCCGCCACCACACCAGGCCTCAAAATTTATTTATTTTTTTAAAAATCAAAATCAGGGCTGGAGAGATGGCTCAATGGTTAAGAGCACTGACTGCTCTTACAGAGGACCTGGGTTCTATTCCCAGCACCCACATGGTGGCTACAAACCGTCCTTAACTCCAGTTTTAGGGAAATCCAAAGTCTTCTTCTGACTTCCGCGGCATTGCACGACACGGGTACACTCACATACATGCAGGCAATACACTCATACACAAAATAAAAATAATAAACAAAAGAAAAATTTTTATTTTTGGTCTTTTTGAGACAGGGTCTCCCTGTAGCCCCAGATGTGACTGCCTATAACTCCAGCTCCAGGAGATCAGTGCCCTCTTCTGGCCTCCACCCACACCTGCACATCTACTCACATAGACACAGACATATACACATACATAAAAACAAAATCTTAAAAAAAGAAAGAGGCCAGGCATGATGGTGCATGCCTTTAATCCCAGCACTCGGGAGGCAGAAGCTGATCGTCAATTGTTGTGAGTTCAAGGCCAGCCTGATGTACATAGTGAGTTCCAGGTCAGCTGGGGCTACAGGGAGACCGTCTCAAACTAAAAATAAAAACTTAAAAAAAAAACAAACAACAAAAAAAATCAAAATTATCTTAAGTGATGATACTCAATAATGATAGTTATTTAGAAAAAAAGAAAGTACTCCTGTATATTTTCTTATGCATTATTGAAAGCAACTGTGAAGGCCCAGCACATGGTATATGCTCATAATCCCAGCACTTGGGATACTGAGGTTAAAGAATGAAAGTCTGAGGTCATCTTGGTCTGCATATATAGTAAGACCACCTCAGCCCCATTACCCACAAAACAAACAAATGGAAACAGAGAATTTTATTCTGTTCTTACCTATTCTTTTTCAATTTGGCTTCAGCTGATGGCATATTTTCTAAACAGCTGGGACAATAATGGGAGTCCACCTAGAAGGAAATAAGAATAAAAAAAATTAAAAAAAAAAAATCAGGGTGCTGGAGAGATGGCTTACTGGTTAAGAGCACCTGCTGCTCTTGCAGAGGACCAGGGTTTGGTTCCCAGAACTCATGACAGCTCATGGGTACTCATGCACATGTGCATATACACACAATAAAAATAAACTTTAAGGGGCTGTAGAGATGGCTTAGTGGTTAAGAGCACTGGCTGCTCTTGCAGAGGACCTGGTTCCCAGCACCCACATGGCAGCTAACAACCATCTGCAACTCCAGTTGCAGGGGATCCAATGCCCTCTTCTGACCTCCACAGGCATTGCATGACATAGGTGCAAGCAATACAATCATACACATAAAGTAAATTAAAAACAATGAAAAAAAAATTTTCTTTAATCAGGGAAAAAGAAACTCATTAAAATAGCCTATGCTTCAACAGAAAGAAATTACTAACCTGGAAAAAAATCTGAACTGTTTCCAACTTAGCATTCTTTAATCACCTTGGGATTTTTTGCTTAATTCTGTGGTTTTTTAAATGTATTTTATTTAATATTTTTATTTTACATGTATGAGTGTATTGCCTACCATGTATGTGAGTGTACCCATGTCATGCAATGCCGCAGAGGTCAGAAGAGGGAGTTGGATTCCCCTGGAACTGGAGTTAAGGAAGGTTTGTAGTCACCACGTGGGTGGCAAGAGCAGTCAGTGCTCTTAACTGCTGAGCCATCTCTCCAGCCCTGGTTTTTAGAAATTCTATTTTTCCTTTCTGGAATTCCCTGTTCCCTATCATTAAGGTTTATGTGTTAAGATATGTCAAGACTGGTTTACATGATACTTTAAACCTTCAAATGGTTTAATATATGGTCTAATACATGGAAAAATAAAGTGATCCAACTGTAAGCTATGATCACTAGTCTCTGATATGATTCAGCTTTACTTCACTACAATGACTTGGTGATACTTTTTGTTAAGAGACATTTAAAAAAAGTTTTCTTGACCTGGAGTGGTGGCCCACACCTTTAGTCCCAGCACTCAGGAGGCAGTGGCAGGCAGATCTCTGAGAGTTCGAGGCCAGCCTGGCCTACATAGTGAGTTCCAGGTCAAGTGGGGCTACAGGGAGACCCTGTCTCAAAAAAACAAAACAAGTAAACAAAAAAGTTTTCTCACTAGTAATGTATTTACTGAGTATACATTACAACTGAAATAGCTATAGCCAACCAACTACCAATTACAGATTTGTGTGTGTGTGTGTGTGTGTGTGTGTGTGTGTAGATTGGAGGACAGCCTCGAATGTTTCCTAAGGCACTACCCACCTGTTTTTTGGAGACAGAGTCCCAAACTGGCCTGGGACTTATCAAGTACATTAGGCTGGACAGTCAGCAAGTCCCAGAGACCCACCTGTCTCCTGCAATGGGATTATGTGTGACTATCTGGCTTTTGTGTGTATATATGTTCTGGAAATCCCAGGTATTGAACTCATATCCTCCTTCTTGCAAGCACTTTACTAACTACTATCATTCCGGCCCACAATCAGAGATTTTAATTCATTTTACATTTATTTATCTTGTGTGTATGTGGTGAGGCAGGCAGCAGGCAGGCTCATGTGTGGAGGTCAGAGGATAACCCATGGGAATTGATTTTCTCCTACTATATGAGTCCTGAGGCTCAAACTCAGATTGTCTTTTTTTTTAATTTATTTTTATTTTTTAATGTGTATGTTTTGGCTGCATGTGTGTAAATGCACCCACCAGAAGAGGGTGTCTGATTCCCTGGAACTGGAATTAAGGATGGTTGTTAGCCGCCATGTGGGTACTGGGAATCGTACTCAGGTCCTCTGCAAGAGCAATCAGTGCTCTTAACCATTGAGGCATCTCTCTAGCCCCAAACTCAGATTGTCTTGGCAGCAAATGTCTTTATTTGCTGAGCCACCTATTTGGCCCTCCAATTAGAGGTTTTTAGTAACAAATTGAACAAGAGGATAATCTTATTGTATTTAACTCAAACCACAGACTAAAAATTAAAGTCACTCTGTTTTTAAAGATCTGAGTTTTTCCTTTAATACGGTTAGCTTCTATTTGATAATTATAGAATTCTAGCTGCTGGCAGATCAAAAGGCATTTACGTGAACATAAACACTATGCTAAACATGAGCTTTTTTTTTATTATTTGCTACTAACAGGACTAATCTGAAAAGATGTTGCCATGCTACATAAAAAACAGTATTGATAACTAGTACTTGCACTAACATACCATAAATATAACTCATTCCTGCTCCCTTGCCAAAGTCTGTTTGTCCTTAATCTGCAGCTTCAGACTCAGACCCATTAGAACTTTCTGGCTTGCTTTACCTAGCCTCATCATTTCCAAACTCTAATGATCATCACATCAGAGATATCAGGCTGTAAAAGATGCTGGCACAGACTGAATGTCTTAACTGAAAAGATTCACAGTGATCATGGAGCCTGAGTTCGCTAAGGACCTCCACAAGACACCTGGTAAGTTCTGGTGCTAGGGGTAGAAGAGGGGAACATCTAAAAGAAGCCAGGTGTAGTGGTACACACCTTTAATCCCAGCACTCAATGAGGCAGAAGCAAAGGCAGAGGCAGGAAGAACTTTGTAGCTTTGTGAGTTCAAGGCCAGACAGGGATATATAGCAAGACCCTGTCTCAAACCTGCCAAAAGAGATCTGCACAAAGTGTGACTATTTTGAAGAGCATCCCAAATAAAGTTAAGTATGAATATGTAAAATGGTTAACACTATAGGATATGCATTTTATCCAGGGAGTTTAATGAAAGTCTTTGTCAGACTGCTTAGGTTCAAATCCTGATCTTCCCTCCCATTCCTAAATTTTCATGGGACCTATAGTAAACAGTCTGTATTTGCTTCTTTACTTGTACATTTGGTGGGGGGCGGGGGTCAGAGGGCTGTCCTCGAGCTCACTATGTAGGTACCTCAAACTCATGGCACTCCTGTCTTGGCCCCCTGAGTGTTAGGATTATAGGCATGAGTCACCACCCAATAGTTTCTTTTTTTTTTTTTTTCCCTCTTGTAACAACATTCGCCTTTAACAACTGAATGTGGTGGTGTACTTGTAATCACAGAATTTGGGAGGTGCAGGCAGGAGAATCAGGAGTTCAAGGACAGCCTTGGCTACATAGTGCCTCGTTTGAGGCCTGCCTGGGCAACATGATCCTCTGTCTCAACACTCCCATACCCCTAAATCTTCCAAATCCCAGTATTCAACTTCATTGGTTGGAAAAATTATGTAAAACCCACATCACACAGCCAAATACAGAATGTAGCTGTTACTATTATAAGCTTTTTCTTCTCTAGATGGTGAGTTTCTCAATAGTACGGTTTGTTTTACTCATCTTTAATCCTTGAAGGGTACTGGAGAAACAAGTTCTGTCAAAAACTGCAGGTGTGGAGCTTTGTTATTAGATGATTTTTTTTTTTTAAACGGAGGGAGTTGTTTTCTGAGCCATCCCGTTCCAACCACCATTTAGACCTGTGAACCGCCATGAATAGAACTCAAGCTTTTTTCACCACAGACTATTTTTATTCGAAACCCTATCAGAACCTTCTTGCCGCAGGCCCTGAACTGGGCCTGGAAACCAGGTAAGCTGGTTAGGGCCCAGTTTCTGGCAAATGGAGGGCCAGAACTTCCCAGAAGGGAGGGCCACGTAGGAGAAACCATGTCTGCCTGCTCCCTCCTTTAACACTGGAAAGGCAGTTATGCCTGCCTTCCAATGGCCTGGGCTAAACATCCTCGACCTTTCTCCCAGCCCAAAACAGGCAGGCACCACAGGGGAGCAGGGTCCACAGCAAATCTGCCTAGAGGCAGCTCTAGAACAAGATGATTCGCCCTGCCCCACCCAAGGCCTCCCCTTTTCCAAGTGACAGGCGACAAGCAAATGAAATCGCTAGCAAGGCTGAGTGAAAGGGCACCTGGCCAATCCACAAGCTAGAACACGGAGGCCCGCCCCTCCGGCGGAACTGGCCCGCCGGCAGTGACTAGCTGCCCCCACCGCGACGCGGTTCCCGCGGGACGGCCCGTTACCTCGTGGGACACACATTCCAGCGACCGCAGCTCACTGCAGTAGCGGCAGAAGTAGAGCTGCGAGAGCGGAGCCCGAACCTTCTTTTCTCCCTGAACGAGATAGAGAACCCGCTCCGACTGCAGCAGGGACGCCATCTTGAAGAGGGAGGAGCCAGTGTACTGGCCACGCCGTCACGTGACGCATGCGTAGCCGTTGACGTAAGTCTCCTGACCCAGTGGGGCTTTGCGGTAGTTGGAAATTAGAGTGCGCGTGCGCGAGCGTCTGTGCTCAGTCCCACCCTCCTAAGGTCCCCATTTCCGCTAGGACTAACTCGGAGGTGTCGAGCTCAGTGTTCTTTTCCAGAAAGGAAGACTGCTCTTTCGCACTACTTGCAACAGCTTCACCTTCCAGGCAATTATTCCGCAGACAGACGAACGGTCTCAAGTGGACAGATTCCACGGGAACTGGAAAGCAGGGTCACCAGCGCTTAGTTCCGGCCGTCTTGCCAGTGATCCCTAGGAAGCATTAACATTATCTCATTTGAAGCGCCACTCATTTGGCCATATCCCCTCCATGTCCAAATTTTGAGTTGTTAGCATAGGTCTACATACTGTAGGTAACGGGTGAAGACAGGAAGTCAGAGTAAACTACGTTGACAGGCGTCATCTATATTTTTTGAGTGTGTAAAATGACAAAATGCCTAGCAGAGCCAAGCCCATGTTGCCTGCTACCATGTGTTTTTCACGTTTTACTAGTGTATTTTTTAACTATTTGACATTGGAGTGGGTGATGGACGAACGCAATGGGATCTGTTAACAAATACTAGGAACTTAAGTATACCGGAGCTGGAGAGATGGCTCAACAATTTAAGAGAGTACTGGCTTCTGAGCCCGGCGTGGTGTCGCTCGCCTTTAATCCCAGCACTCGGGAGGCAGAGGCAGGCGGATCTCTGTAAGTTCAAGGCCAGCCTGGTCTACATAGTGAGTTCCAGGACAGCTGGGGCTACCGGGAGACCCTCTCTCAAAAAGACCAAAAAAAAAAAAAAAGAATGCTGAGGTTCAGTTTCCAACACCCACAAGGCGCCGACAACCCATCTGTTAATTTCAGTTCCAGGATATCGGCGCCCTCCTCTGTCTTCTAGGAGCATTGCACCCACGTAATGTTCTTCCCTGCATGCAAAACATTCATACACAAAATTAAAAAAAAAAAAAAAGTGGAGGAAGACTGGATGTGGAGGTGAGGAAAGCTGGGTGTGGTGGTGCACACCTTTAGTCCCAGCCCTTGGGAGGCAGAGGCAGGCGGATCACTGTGAGTTCAGGCTGGCCTGGTCTACACAGTGGATGCTGCCTCCCCTGGGCAGGTGGTCTTGGGTTGTATAAGAACGAAACCTCTGTATGACATACAACAAAATTGAATAAAAAAATAAATAAATAGAAAGAGAAAGAAAGCAGGCTGGGGGTGGGGGGCATTAAGCCTCATGCTTCCATGGTCTGGACTTTAGTTCCTGCCTCTAGGTTACTTCCTTGAGTTCCTGCTCTGACTTCCCGTTCCTCCCCAAGTTGGTTTTGATAGGAGTGGTTTATCACAGCAATAAAAAGCAAACTCGTACAATTACATTTACTTTTTTTTTCTTTCGTTTTTTTCCCCCCGTCTTTTTCTTTTTTCTTTTTTAAGCATCAAGGGATTTTATCCAGAAGCAAAGTGAAAATGCGGTAGATATCCTGCCCTGCCTCCAGCTTCCTGAGCTAGAGTATTCAAGAGCTCTGATTACATTTCTTATTTACCAAGCAAACAGCCTTTAGTTTCATAGATGGATTTTGCTCTTAGAAGAAAATGTATTATTCTCCAAATAATTTGCAGCTGTTTTTATATGTTAACGAGTTCTTTAGCCTGGTCGATTTTCATTTAGTTTCTACTGGGCTTGACTCCCTCTCAAATGGTGGTTCACAGAGGAGATCCATGGCCACTCATTCTCTGTTCCATCTTCCCTGTGAGCTCACACTGATGCAGCTGTAGCTTTGAGTGAAATGAGGGTGAGGTCATGGAAGAGCAGGCCAAAAGTGATCTTAGAGATTAGTGCCCTATTATTTTAAAATAGGAATTAGAGGTGAACCCAAAGGATAACTGTCTCAGCTTAGAAAGCCCCAGCGAAGCTAGAAACCCCAGGCTCGGAAACTGAGTGAGACCCCCAACCCCTAACCAAGTGATTGCGCTGTCTAGGAAAACATTTGCCAGCACCCCCTGTCCCAAACCCCAAACCATAACACCAGAACTTGTCTCAAACCCTCAAACTGTAAAAATAAAAAAATAAAAAAAAAACAGGACTGCAGAAAAATACCTGGTCTTTCTCCTTAGCCACATAATAGACCAACTGAGCTTCAGTGCCTCAGTTTCCATCCCTAGGGGAAACTGTGGTCCTTCATTGCTCTCTTTTTTTTAATATTATTTTTGTTTTATGTGTATGAGTGTATTGCCTGTATGTAAGTGAGTGCACCCATGTCATGCAATGCGGTGGAGATCAGAAGAGGGCTTTGGATTCCCCTGGAATTGGAGTTAAGGACGGTGTGTAGCTGCCACGTGGGTGCTGGGAATTGAACCTGGGTCCTCTGCAAGAGCATTTAGTGCTCTTAACTGCTGAGCCATCTCTCTAGCAGCCCCCCCCTTCACTGTTCTTAATAAAGAACAGTCTGCCCCTGAGTTCAGTCTCATCTTTCATATTCACATCACCCTGGTCAATCCCAATGAAACATTTTCTAACCCAGGTTTATATCCACGGTTCTTCCTTTTGTTATACTTTGCTGGTCCTCCATATCTTTGCAGCTCACTACTCAACCTCAAGGCTTTGTGAACTAAATAATCTAGGATTGAAGACTGAATTCCTGTTCAACTCAGTACCTGGCCTAAAGCAGGCAAAATCCTCAACTATCTGGAATTTGCTAGTAGATAGAAGCCAATAGTTAAAAAATTATTTTTCTTTCCTTCCTTCCTTCCTCTTTCCTTTTTTTTTTTTTTTTTTTTTTTAAGGTAGTCTCACTATGTAGCTCTGTTTGTTCTGAAACTTATGCAGACCAGGCTGGCCTCAAACTCAGAGATCTACCTGCCTCTGCCTCCCAAGTGTTGGGCTTAAAGATATGTGCCTCCACACCTGTAAAAAGTTTTGCTTTTTTGAGGCAGAGTTTTGCTGTGTCCCTGGCTGGCCTTAAACTCCAGATCCTCCTGAGTGCCGGGACTCCAAGGATGCACCAACACACCCAGAAATATTTCCGAACAGACAAACCTTTCTTTAGGGTTACCACTTCCTTTTTAATACCTTTTAGAAGATAGGGCAAAAAATTGAAGAAGGGAGGAAACTTGCAGTTTTGCATAGAGTGGCATGATAGACCTCATGAAAAGGTCACATTTGAACAAAGATGGGAAAAAGTGGGAACTGAGCCAAATGAGTAAAGGGAAAGGGCCTTCCAGGCTCAGGCTGATTCAGACCCCTAAGGCCCTAAACAGGGATAGCAGAGGCCAGAGGGCTATTAAGTGGGGGAAGGGGCTGGAGAGATGGCTCAGCAGTTAAGAGCACTGGCTGGTCTGCAGAGGAACCGGGTTCAGTTCCCAGCACCCACACGGCGGCTATGAATGGTCCTTAACTCCAGTTCCAGGGGAATCTGACACCCTCTTCTGACCTCCATGGGCATTGCATGGCATGGGTGCACTTACATACATGCAAGCAAAACACAAAAATAATAAAATTTTAATAAAAGGGGTAAATAGGGGGAACACCCTTTGAGATTGTAAGAGCATAATGTTGGAATCTAGCCCTGCTTTGTAACAGTCCCCCCAACCCCCACCTCACCTTATACTGAAAGGCATCTCTTACCTAGAAAGTGAGTTAGCATCAGAGGGTATTGGTTCTACCGCATCCTGCTCCCCATTCCCTTCCCTACTTCCTACCTGGGAATCAATCAGAGCCTGACTGTAGATCCCACCCCCTACCCCCCAACCCATCCTCAGAAGGTATAAGAACAGACTTCTGCCACAGAGACTCTGATTCTTTTCAGAGGCACCACTGTCTTTCTCAGGTGCTGGGGCCTGAACTCTCCTTGGAACCCCTACCATGCTGTGGCCCCTCTTTCTGTCTATCCTTGGCATTAATAACTCTGCTAATAAACTCCTTAGTTCCTAGTAATCCATCACCAGAGGTAATGGGGGCAGCTTTTGTGTGATCCTAAAGAGCATTTAAAAGACATTGTATTTTGCTCTGTTGGGCATGGGGCAATTATCTGTTCTCAAGCAGAGCTCTGACGATCCACATTTTAACAAGGGTCACCCTGGACATGATTTGGGGGCGGGGGTGAAGACACAGGAAAGGTTAAAAGCAGAGGTTAGCTAACAGATTGCTATAGTGAGCCAGGCAGTAGGTGGGAGTGCCATGGACAGGGATTATGGCATACTTTTCAGGTAGAGCCTGCAGGGTTTCTTGAGTAGCTTTGAGCAGTATGCATACCACATGAAGAGTGTAGCTTGGAACCATGGAACAAGGCTCTAGCTGGCCAGAGGACAATTCACTTAATGATTTTACTGAATTCAGTCACTGGGAGTTTCTTTCATCAGAAAGGTCTATTAATTACTGTCTCTTCTGCCTGAAGTCACAAATAAAATAATCCAGGAAAGAACCAGACATTTTCATGTTTAAGAGAAGGGTAAAGAAGCTAATTTGTTGAGTCTCACATTTCCTTTGTTTCAAGTCACAAAGCATGATGCTTACAGAAAAGTATATTTCACAAGAGGCCCCCAGAAAGAGCCAGTCAGTGACTAAAAACATTTATCAGATCTTCAGAGCTCCAGCTTGGGCTGAGAAGTTGCTGCTGTGGTGTGAGAGCCGAACTCGTACGGAATGGAACCCAGGGCTCTTCCGAATAAGGTTTGCTCCTTACTGCGAGAAGATGAGTTGATGAATTGTACTGGGCAGAGCTCCCAGTATGGTCTGGTTTTCTCCTTTACAAACTCAAAGCTGGCTTAGAGGAAGTGATTTGTCTGCAGTTACACTGGATCTGCAGCTCAGCTCACTCCTTTTTTATCTTTTTAGACAGGGTCTCTCTGTAGTCCCAGCTGACCTGGAACTTGCTATGTAGACCAGGCCTGCCTCTATCTCACAGAAATCCACCTGCTGGGATCAAAGGTGTGTGCCACCACCACCACACCTGGCA